TTTTAGCAAATAGTCTGTCAATATGTTACTATATTTCCAATGAGATAGACTGTATGTATATAAAGACAAATTTTATTGTACAAAGAGATTCAAGAAAAAAATAAAATCTAATACTATAAGCATGTTTATTTGTCTTATTGTATTCCACATGACGAAATTTAGGTATAGGAGCACCACGTCAGCACTATTAGGTATATTTCATTATCTTCCCTCACACTTCCTAGCATCATCACTTGTTTTATTATCAAGTTGCAAGAACAATTTTCGTCAGTTCAAGTTTAGTCTTTTTTGCTGGTCTATTCATTCTCTAATGGAAAAGAAGTGGTTCATGGTGTCGAAAAGCTGGCTTAGACAAGCTCTTGGAATCCTGGAATAGACATTACAATGCATATTAGGTCAAACACAATAAAGAGAAACTATTCAAAACAATAATAACCCGACTACGAAAAACAATACTCTCATATTGTTTTTCGCGCGTATTTTATGTTGAAATTTTTACTTACGATACTTTCCATTGAGTCCACCCTTATTTTGCTTTAGTATTGAGTTCTTTTATATTAATTAAAATAGAAATCACAGTAAAAGTGTAAACAAACAAATAACTTGACATAGTGGCATTTGACCTCTGTCAAACACGACGTTCGGAAATTGTAAAATATTTTATGAAATTACAAAACTAACTAGTACCTTTTTTGGTTGTAATAATACGATTATGTCACTTTACGTACCCGTAAACTCCGTTCTTGACCTTTTTTTGCTTAACCAATATATCTTAACAAATTATCAAAGCCTTAATCGTGCAGAGAAAGATAGAAAAATATTTTAAAAATGGTTTAGTTTTCAGACGTATTCTTAAGTCATTCAATTCGTTCACTTGGGTGCTTCTCTATTTTACATCAGCATGACGTCATTAACGAACTTGATTCGAGCTCTCGAAAGACGATACGATAGGCTTCGTGCTGCGACATTCCGTTTTCGTCACATGACGTTTCGACGTCTCGATACTATTACGTTACGAATGCGATAGTTATTCGTGCTAGGCACACAGATTGGTTCGTTCATTGGCTCCGGCCAATCAGAGTGTCGAACGCGTACTCGTTTCGAATACTTTAAACGTAAATCAAACTTGTACTAAGGCCTCAGACCTTGTTTCGACAAACTATCACTAATAATTGGGCTCTAATGGACAAACAAACTCACATACACATCCTGTTACTCAGACGAAGAAACCGTGGTAAAACGAAGACGTGCAATTATTTTCATTAATTATTAAAAAAAAATGACCCAGACGAAAATCAAACGATAAGTATTTTGGTACATTAAACGTCCGAAGAATAATCTGTCAAACTCGAATTTTCGTTCGTGCGGATTGTACAATTAGAGTAGGGTTCCGAAAATATCGACGTCAAACTGTACATCTCATACTAATTTCTGGCTTGTTTCACTCCTTTTTCGTTCGTATAAATGTCATAGGTAGGTAATCTACGAAGTTTCGTCCGAAATTTCGTTTTTCGTCGAATCAGAGTAGACCTACAGTTAGGCTATCTTGTAAGATGTCAATTTGTACTCTCGAAGAGAGCTCGATTGAGGTCCCCCATATCATTGCTTGTGAGAATAATTTGTACCTAGTAACACCCCCCACTATTTATTTTTTTTTTATATTTTCAATGTACAGAATTTACACTTCTACAGTTTTATTATACATATGTATGTCGCGGAGAACCTAACGGGTAACCGGGGCTCCGGCTCGACGTGCAGGAGAAGGAACGGGGTGGTTTTTAGTAAGTAAGAGTCTGACACTCCCTCCCGCCTCACCCAGGCGGGAGCAGTCATTCGATGATTTTCCCTCCTTAAAAAAAATATGTATAGATATAGATTGTTATGTTATATTTCAGGTAACAGCCATTATGAAGTGTTGCACAGGTCTGTTAGAGAGGCCCGTCATCGGATTCATCCCCGGCCAGGACCGAACCCAAACCCAAGGCCAGCACCAAAGCCTAACCCACGACCAATGATATCTGCAAATGAGTTGGAGCAAATTTACCATAGACGTAAACAACGTAGGAGAAATGAACAGAAATCGTACGGTGGATGGCAAAAATCGCGTCAAGAGAATCCCATCCCGTCATATTTGAAAAGACAGAATCGGTACAGATACAAGGGAAATTGGTGGTAACTGAAAAAAGGGGGCAAAATTTCAAAATGGTGTTCTTTTTTTATCAAACACGTTGTAACTTTAAAAAAATATTCCTTTTACTACAAAATGGTCTAATTTTAAAGGTTTATTTATGTCTAAATTACCTTTTATAGGACATAAGTTACCAATTAATAAAAGACTTGTATCGGAAAATATTATCAAGTAATGAAAAATAAAAAAAAACGCTAGGGGCTCCGTTCATTTGCCGGATCCCCAAGTAATCCGATCATTAAATAGGAATATGGGGGTTACCTGGAAAGTTTTCCTGGAGTTTCAATTTCCATTTTGCACCTTTGTACGTGCACCGCTCGCGTCGTAATCTTGAAAAAGTGGCGGCCAAAAACTACAAAAAAACACGCCGCTTTCTGTCTTCCACGTGGTGTGTGAAATTATTTTTTTTCCAAAATGCTCATATGAATGTACTTTGTGGTGCACTGGCGCTAAAACTACTTATATTACAAAAAACCTGTCAATTGTAGAAAATAGTGCGTACTGTGAGTAAGTACTAAAAAAGTACTTTAATTTTGTAGTAACCGGTTTTCTCGTAAAATGCACAAGAAAAGAGGTACTGTAAAAAATCCGCCATTTTTCCAAGATGGCGGGGTGAGAAGCGTACGTACAAAGGTGCAAAATGGAAATCGAAAAGAGCAAATAAAACTCTACAATAATTACCGTTTTCAAAACACCCGGGAAACATTCCAGGTAAAACTACCAAATTAAATATACAAATAGAGTCGCGGAGAACCTAACGGGTAACCGGGGCTCCGGCTCGACGTGCAGGAGAAGGAACGGAGTGGTTTTTAATTAGTAAGAGTCTAACACTCCCTCCCGTCGCACCCAGGCGGGAGCAGCGATTCGATGATTTCCCCCCCTTAAAAAAACATACAAATAGAGACATGTGTCTTCTACTATTCTTTTTTGTTCTGTAGTTCTTTAGTTTTAAATCTACAGAATTCAGATAGATAGGTTACTATTATTATTGAAATTGAATAATATTTGTTTGTGAAAGAAGAAAATAATGACCCACTTAATAAATACTTTTAAAATAGGTTTTGTTTCATTTACTTACTGGTTAAATCATAAATTAGTTTATTTATTTATTTATTTATTTACTATGTTAACACACTAAAAAAAATGACTACCTCGTTGGCCGAGTGGTCGCAAGTGCGACTGCCGGACAAGGGGTCCTCGGGTTCGATTCCTAATTCGGGCAAAGTATTACTGGTTAGTCTGGAAATGTTCCCGGTATATGGCAATAGACTCACTTACATGGGACTCATAACATAAATAGTTAAAAGTGGGTGTAACAATGTACAGTGCCGTAATATGTACCTCTGCCTACCCCTTCGGGGACAAAAAGTCGTGATGTTATGTTATGTTAAAAAGATATCAAATAGATAAAACTTTGTACCGTCCACGCCAGAGACGGAAACCTTAGACCAGTGGTTCCCATTTGTAACGATCAAACTTTGAATGCAAAATTTGAAGTAAATCCATGTAGTACTTTTTGAGTTTAGCCCGGACATACATACAGACAAACAGACAAAAGTTCTATAAACCATATTTTTAGCTTCGGTGCCGTTTGTAGATCACGCCCAAAGCATTCTTTTAAGAAATTATTCGATGTACACTGTACATTTTTCACTTTCCTACGATTTTATTAAATGTAGGTACCTATAGAGAGAGAAGACATGACATTGCTATTTTACTTCCTTCCTTACTGACTGCGATCTCTCATCTGCCTGACAAGCGAGGATATTGAAGCAAACCCCAGTCATATAATAAGACTAACAAAATCCATTAGCAGTAATAGTATCGGCTTACTGCCGCATGGGCAGAGACATCATGCATTCTTAAATGTTGTACAGTCGGTGGCGCTGTGGGTTAGGTCGCTCCCCAGTGCCGTTTTTCCCATAAGGGCCACTCTGGGGCCGTGGTTAGGGCCCCATCCTCATGGGGCCCGACAATTTCTACGACGGAGACCTACACAATTCCCCCAAGGAGCTAAACTTCGAGTGATCCACAAATTGTTGTTCCGGGTCTGGGTGTCATTTGTATGTGAACTTGTATGTTTGTAAATGCATCCACGATAATTAGTAGATAGTTATTTACTTATAGTGTTAAATTATTGTATTTAAATTAGCCAAAATATATTCAAGTATTGTGATAGTATTGTTATTTAAGTTATGCATATACTTTAGCATAAGGTACGATGGGGTTGGCATATCCTTATTGGAATGGGTGTGGTGATTCCGCAAGGGCGTCCCGGGTCACGGCCACAGGCAAACGACGAAACACCGTGGTGGTTTGACCCAGTAAGAGTCCGGCACACCTCCCCGTCGTCCCCACGGCGAGGGAAGTCCATGAGGATTGCCATGGCGATATAAAATAAAATCTTATCCTTTTTGGATAAAAACTCCAATACATTTATAAATAAACTAGCTACTTCCGCGCGGTTTCACACGCTCTGCTCAGCTCCTATTGGTCGTAACGTGATGTTTTATAGCGTATAGCCATCCTCGATAAATGCATTATTCAAATCAAACTTGTAGTTTCGGAGATTAGTGCGTTCAAACAAAAAAAACAAACTTGCGCTTTATATAATTTATAAATATAAATAAATAAATGAACATTTAATAAAATAAATAAATAAAGAATAATTTTAGAAACCATTGTGTTATACAAAATTTATTTTTACAACTACATAAACATAACAATGTACATTATATGTTATTTATACATACTGCTATAATATATTATTAATAGAAATAATTCAGGTACCACAATACAACTGCAGTGTTGCGAGTAGGTACTGCACGCACGCACTGTAAAGACGAATATAACATTTATATTTTAATTCTACAATCTATAATCTTTAAATCTATTTAATTTCTGGCAAAGACCTGGATAGATTCAGTGGATATTTCGGATTGACTTTAATGATAGACTGAAGTTGGGTACTCGTTCCAAATCGGAGTCGTGTGCAGCATGAGGCCTGTGTTTGTGCTGTGCATGCTGCCTGTGCTGGCTGCACAGCACGCATTGCACAAGGAGCAACTTCCCCCAACACTTCAACAAGGTACATTATAGCTTACAACAAATACATACACAAACACACACATACACAAACATACACACACTCACTCAAGCATAGCTTACTGTATTTTTATATATTATTTATGTATTTCTTTTTTATTCCTTTATGACTGCCTGACTACTTTTTCTTTTTTATGACTGCCTCGTTGGCCGAGTGGTCGCAAGCGACTGCCGGTCAAGGGGTCTCGGGTTCGATTCCCGGGTCGGGCGAAGTATTACTGGGTTTTTATAAATTCTCAGTAGTAGCACGGAGTCTGGAATTGTGCCCAGTATATGGCAATAGGCTCACCCCCTATTACATGGGACTCATAACATAAATAGTGAAAAGTGGGTGTTACATTGTACAGTGGCATAATGTACACCTCTGCCTACCCCTTCGGGGATAAAAGGCGTGATGTTATGTTATGTTAGGTATGTAATTTCTCGCCTACTTAATTTTTGTGTGGTGACGGTACTCGTAGGTAAAGTATATAGAAAGATGTAGTGACAAGGATTGAAAAGGGAATGTTACGCTGGTTCAGCTAAAGACTGTATTATCTTCCCTTACAGTATGGTGCACTATTTACTGAACACCTTGTATTATGATAGATATAAAACAAAGTCGCTATCCGCTGTCTGTCTGTCCCTATGTATGCTTAGATCTTTAAAACTACGCAACGGATTTTGATGCGGTTTTTAATAGATAGAGTGATTCTTAAGAAAGGTTTATATGTATAATACATATGGGTCGCTAGTGTTCAATAAATAAATGTTAATAATTATATTTTTGTTATTTCAGTTCCTGAAAAAAGTCCATACAATAATTCGTACAAAGATGATATACTCATATCGGTTTCTATGCCAATAAGTAAAGTGATAGATTTATACGGACCGGGAATTCGAGGAACACAATATCAAATCGTGAATGGTGAGGATGCTAAGATAATGAAAATTACGCCCAATAAGATCCAACGAGGTAAATTATAGCTTAGGTACTTCATATCTTAGATAGGTACTAAAATAGGGTAGATGACTCATTTTTATTCCAATGTCCGTCTGGTAGATTATTTTAAAACATTAGACACGTATTTTTTATTTTCTTACGGAAAGAAATACTTTCGACGATATATTGATTTGAAATATCACGTGACGTCACTTCTATGTACATTTTATACGTAGAAATGACGTTTTGGCTCCCACTCCTAAACTTTGATTCGTTTTATATAAGTACTAGCTGTTACCCGCGACTTCGTCCGCGTGAAATAACGACTTCTGTATAAATTGGGTTTTTTAAATTAGTCTTTGTCAAGGTATATTCTACGGCTGTACAACTGGAACAAATATCATCACAATCGATTCAGTACCTAGGTTATATTTATTAAGAAATTAATTTATTTTCGTGGTTTCTAAAATAAAAAATCCCATAGAGGTTTTACCCGTACAGTGCCCGTCTCGTGACGTTTCACTATTCTATGTTTGCAAATCAATGTTGTATCGCATTTCAATCAAATAGATATAGTGATTTTAACAGCGCACAGTTTCCGGTTTCGTGGGTTTTTCGGGTTAAAAACTTTTAGATGTCCTTTCCCGGGTCTCAAACTATCGCTGTACCGAATTTCACCAAATAAGTTCAATGGTTTAAAAGGTAAGAGCCCCTCTTTATTTCAACGTCCTTGGTCCTGGTTTTTTAGCGCATAGTTTCCGTCATTTTGGGATTTCCTCTTCTCTTCTATAATGTGACCTGATATGTACCGGTGCGACGTGCGTTACTATCGCAAACATTTAAATGAAAAAATAGGTATTCTGATATTAGGTTAGTTACATATGATACATGTACTTTAATGTTGATATTAATGTCCTCTATAAGACTTAATACATCCTATTGTCCATAATTTCCATAATTTCCACAGCGTAAACAATACCAATAATATAAGGAGTTTTTTTGGTAGTTTTTCACACATCGGGTTGTCATTACCTAAAGGAGATTTTTTTTGAGGTCGGAAAATCATCCAATCACTTCTCCCGCCTTGGGTTAGGTGAGAGGGAGTGACAGATTCTTACTGACTAAAATCCACTCCGTTCCCACTCCTGCTCGTCGAGCCGGAGCCCCGTCAACTCGTTAGGCCTCCCGCGGCACCGTATCGAGCATCAGCCCTACTGGGCTCCATCTATGATGGTGTCATGGCTCTGTAAGGCGCGCGCCGTATGCACGGGACTGGTTCTGGTCGGGTGGCGAGCTACCCTTGCTCTTCGTCTACAGACCCGCACTTACGGTGGTCGGTGGCCGGCCGATCTCCGATGCCCAGAGTGTCTCCCGCGACGGCTGGGGCGTGAGGAAGTTCATTCCCTCACGTGCTCCGCTTTCTCCTTGGCAAGCATAACTGCTTCGCAGAAGGATGCGACTGCATCCCAATCCCCCTCGCTCCATGGCCTGAACCAGAGCCGAACGCGAGAGGTCACCGTTTCCTACATTCCTGAGAACACGGCGGTGCTCAGCCCATGCAAGGTACACCGCCACGGTATGCTCCACCGTGTTCTCCGGGCGGTCCTTGCATTGATGCAGGGGGGCAACCGGGGCGAAAGCCCCGGGGCCTCCACAAGCAGGGGGCCTCCACAATAGACTTCGGAAAAAAAAATCTTTCAAATTTCAACTAGTAAACCTAGTAAACATCTTTTCTTTGATACTTTTTTTTTCGCTTTTACCTTTACCTACAGCCTAAAGTACTTTATACATACATGATTATTTGATTATATTAATTTTAAATATTAACAGAAACAAAAATCATTGATCTATATTTGTTCACTCCAATCAGGCAATCAGTGAAATATCAAAATCTCAAATGGCTCTGATAAGCACTTCCAATTTACTACCCATCTTGAGGGAGTACCCCAATGGCTCAATGGCTCAGTGGGATGGTACTTGCCCGCAACCTCGGAGGTTGGCTATTCGATTCCGTGTCTCGGCCATTAAAAAAAATAATTGCAGTATGTGAACAATTGGTATTCTTCAATTCTTAAACTCGAAATCTGTCGAGCGTCCTCGAAATCTATCGAGAGTCCTCGATCGTTTTCGAGCGTCCTCGAAATCTATCGGGCGTCCTCGAAATCTATCGGGCGTCCTCGAAATCTATCGAGCGTCCTCGAAATCAATCGAGCGTCCTCGATTGTTTTCGAGTGTCCTCGAAATCTATCGAGAGTTCTCGATTGTTTTCGAGCGTCCTCGATTGTTTTCGAGTGTCCTCGAAATCTATCGAGCGTCCTCGATTGTTTTCGAGCGTCCTCGAAATCTATCGAGAGTTCTCGATCGTTTTCGAGCGTCCTCGATCGTTTTCGAGCATCCTCGATTGTTTTCGAGCGTCCTCGAAATGTATCGGGCGTTCTCGAAATCTATCGAGCGTCCTCGAAATCAATCGAGAGTCCTCGATCGTTTTCGAGCGTCCTCGAAATCTATCGAGAGTCCTCGATCGTTTTCGAGCGTCCTCGAAATCTATCGGGCGTCCTCGAAATCTATCGAGCGTCCTCGATCGTTTTCGAGCGTCCTCGAAATCAAGCGAGCGTCCTCGATCTCAATCTGGAAAATAATTTGGGGCAAGGGGGCCTCCACTCCTTTGTTGCCCCGAGGCCTCTGGACCCCTAAATCCGGCCCTGCATTGATGGCCTCTCTAAAGCCACTTTTAAAGAGGGGACTTTCCGCTGCAATGACAGCGAGCCCAGCCCTCGGTTACCTAAAGGAGTGTTTCGCTGTGTAAGTGAGGTTACCGGAGGCCCAATTACCCCTCCCCCAGCCCCCCCAATCCCTGACAATCCTCAAATTACCAATTCCCAAAAGACCGGTAACGCACTTCTAGCACTTCTGGTGTTACAGGTGTCCATGGGCGGCGCAGATTGCTTACCATCAGGTGATCCGTCTGCTCGTTTACCGGCTTATGCCATAAACAAACAGTGTCTAAACTATCATAGTGAATTTGGCCTTGACGGTCTAAAATGAAAAGGACTAATATTATTTTTTAGCTATGTGCATTTAGCTAGTTTTTTTGATATACATATAAAAAATACGAATTCAAGTAAACTGAAAATATTTTATTCGTGGTTTTATCTCCTTAGACTGCTGTCAACCTCTTTGTATACCTTAATATTAATACCATAGTATAAACAAAATCTATGACACATTGACTTTGTAAACTTACTTGTCACACAAATGTCAGATGACTTAAGAAATGTATACTAATAATATAAATTTGTATGTGCTTGTTTGTTTGTTTGTCCGTATTTCACGACAGAACGGAGTCAGGAAGGTTTTTGATTCGAGATAGTTGAAAAGATGGAGAGTATCATAGGCTACTTTTTGTCTTTTTCTAACCCCCTTCCACTTCCGTGAAACAGAGGTGAAAGTTTGTATGGGGTATTTTGCAATTTTCAATGTGGAAAGCTAAAAATTGGTATGCGGGTTATTTGTGACCAGCATAGAATCGTGCATCATTTCATTTTTTTATTGTAAATCCTTCCCTCACCCCATTAAAAGAACGCGAGAGAAGCCGCAGACAGAGGCTAGTCTATGAATAAATTGTATTCAGTCAATTGAATTCGTATTTTGTCTTTAAAATCCCTGATCCCTGATGCAGCTGAATACTAATATTATTCCTTGAAAACCCACAGAACTTCATTTTTATATGTTGATGCCAAAATGTATTATGAAAGTAGGACGCCATAACAATTACAAATCATTTGGTTGTTACCTGTCAGATATCCGTTTTCAGGTTTTCAGATAAATCGTAATAATTATTCTTAAACATTGACATAGTGAGTCGAAATTTCAAAAACGCTAGAACAAATGTTTTATTATTTTTTATCAAGAGCTTAAATATAAGTAAAGTTTCATGGTTTTATGTTTAAAAAATATGAAATCCCATACAACTCCCTCCCCCCCCCCTTTTAACCCCTTACAACCCCTTTTTCGCGATAAAAAGTAGCCTATGTTTTATCTCGGGGTCTAGAATATCTGTATACCAAATTTCATTCAAATCCGTTCAGTAGTTTTGGCGTGAAAGAGTAGCAGACAGACAGACAGACAGAGTTACTTTCGCATTTATAATATTAAGTTAGGATTATTTAGTTGTATGACAAAATGAAAAAATACTTACGTGTCCAATATTTTTTCATTACCTATTATAAATATAAAATTATAAATCTATATTTATAAAAGAAAGTCGTGTTAGTTACACCACTTATAACTCAAGAACGGCAAAATAGATTTGGCTGAAAATTGGTAGGGAGGTAGCTTAGAGCCAGGAGACCGACATAGGATACTTTTTACTCAATTCTTTTTTTTTACTTTTTACCAAAAATCAAGAACGGGAACGGGAAATATCGGGATTGTGCGTACGAAGTCGCGGGCAGAAGCTAGTAAATTATAAATACGATAGTTTGATTATCTGAACGTATATTGAGTTGTTTAGGTAGGTATTGGTCCTAGCTATCACGCCGCACAGTATGGTATGGTCTATTTACTGAACACCTTGTAGATGTTAAATATTTTAAATAAATAAAGGTTAATAATAACAATTTTGTTATTTCAGTTCCTGAAAACAGTCCAGTCCAAAGTCCTGGCAAAAAAGGCTTTACGTACACGAAGATTTCAATGCCAATAAGTAAAGTGATAAAGGTATATGAAATAAATGGTGAGGATCTCAATATGGCAAACATAATTACGCGTAATACACTACAGTATCAAAAACCGATTCAACCAAGACCATCATATCAAAAGTCTCTAGATCAAAGACGAAAGACTTTGAGACCGGGGTATCAGCATGCTCTACTTCAGAGACAAAAGAATCAGAGACGAGTCTTAACACCGGGGCATCAAGAGTCTCTTCAGAGACGAAACACTTTGAGATCAGGGTATCACCATGCTTTACTTCACAGACAAAAGAATAAGATGACACTGAATCAGAGACGAGTCTTGAGCACAAGGCATCAAGAGTATCGAAGACAGAGACAAAAGACTTTGAGAGCGAGGCATATCCGCAAGCTCTACTTCAGAGACAAAAAGTGTCAAAAGCGACCGTGTCAGAGATTACAGACTCGTTAACCTCCAAGACTTTGAAACATCCAGGGGCCTTATTCTTGAATCCAATTCCGATTGGTCGACATTGGTATTGTAAAATTTCGTACTCTTGAGATGCATACTAGAAGCCATTGTATCCGTATTTTTTTTAAGTGGGGAAAGTCATCGAATGTCTTCTCCCGCCTGGGTGAGGTGGGAGGGAGTGTCAGACTCTTACTGACTAAAAACCACCCCGTTCCTACTCCTGCACTTCGAGCCGGAGCTCCGGTAACCTGTTAAGTTCTCCGTGGCTCCGAATCGGCGTCAGCCCTATTGGGCCCCATCCGTTAGCCACAAGTCATCCACTGCCTCCCACAGGCCTCTCCCAATCGGCTTGGAACCGCCCTGCATCTAGTGAGAGTCTCTAAAGTCTGTGTGAAAGTGTAGTATAATTAAATGTTTTGTTCTGGTTTTGTTTTATTGTTTCATTTTTGTTCGCCTTCTACTATTGTAACCGTTTGTTTATTTTTATTTTTCTTTTATTTTAATGTAATGTTCATTTTTGTGCTTTTTCTTCTTTATCTGATATTGTCTTTTTGTATGTGCGTTAATTGGTGTTAAACCGTGTTAGCATAACAATAACAAATATATTTATATTCTTATTCCACGACAGTAATATTAGTAAAATAATATTTTTTGTAAATCTAATAGTGGAATTTTATGATATTCAAGGAAACTGGTAAAATATATAGGTATAACCTAATTTAATTTTTTTAAAAAGGTGGAAACTAGTAATCGTTTAGTAGTGTGTTTAGTTTAGTGAAAGTGTTTTCCTAAATAACAATTTATAGTTTACCATAGCATAAAAATGGGTTTCATTGGTTCAACTAAGTTGATAATAAATCTATGACAAAGGCTTAAATTGAAAAAGTTATAAAAATATGTTCTTCGCCAAAAATACATAGGTACATTACAATAGTTCAAGCGATTTTTTTGTCCAGTAACTATATAGTAATTGTTGTTAAGAGCTGAATTTGAAAATAACTTATTTTTATTTCATTTAGTATTTAATCTGTTTTATTGCTAATTACCCGCCTATGTTTAATGTTGCATTGCACACACACTGTCTAGTGTTGTCAGAAGGTACTTATTTTTGCTTCCATGCTGATGGAAGTGGGATAGGTAGAGCACCTGGATACAATAATGTTCTCCTCTGTGTGTGAACGATTGTAATCAAGTGATACCTATACAATCACAACAAGTTCTTGTGGCTTGCACTAATGTGTACATATTACTGAGGAAGGTTTAAATATAGAATGTTACAAGTGAGAAATAAAACAAACTTATGAAACAGAATCGTCGCTTTATTCAGCAATTTCCGGTTGAAAAAAAGAATCAACAAAACTACACTGAAATTGTGAACATGACTATTTTACAAACATTTTTACAGAGCAATAATGTATAATTGCGTCGCGTCAGGTTGTGGCCGCTCGACCCTCGACGCTCCAAGCTCGCGAAGCTGACTGAAGCTCGCATGCAGAGCGGGCAGAAAGATACAAAATAATAATATTTACAACAAACAATAACCGGCGGCCGCGGCGCGGGCGAGCGATGCGAGCGGTGCGAGCGGGACGAGCGGGACGAGCGACGCGAGCGGCCACAACGACTACGCCTAAACTAGAATTCAGAAACTTATGAGGTACATCATTCTATTCACGTTACTAAGCGTATGTTATCGGCCCCAACGACAACTTGAGGCCGATTATTTTTTTTACATTTTTTCCCAAATTTGCAGCCTTTTTGTACAGTATATGATACTTACTAATTATATATGTATAGACATAGTTAAACCGTTACATTTTTTTGTTGCGAGACATTTTTCCTAACAGCGCATGCGCGATGGGCTGCCATGAAAAACGTTCCCACGAAATTTTTTATAATCGTTGAGACAACAGGACACTTGCGTAACACGACTCGATATAATTTCGCATAGCTAGATTAAACCCCAATGTTTTTTTTAGTTTACATTAAAATACACGATATTTTTAACATTTTTTTTTTGCTTTTTTTCTGCAAAATTTCTAACAAGAAGTGATCAGACGAAATGTATTTCCATTATATATTTGTATCCCGAAAAAGAAACTACATTAAGACTGACGAGGCAAATCTTTATGGCAATCGTTATGTTCCGTGATCGTTGCGCGACACGTTGCGTGTTGCGAGTTACATCGAAGCGTATTCATTACATTGTGTATGGCAACACTCGCGAACGAGCACAGATCACAACTTACAATGTTGCCACGTAAAAATTGAACGAAAACAATAATTATTATTTGTTTTATTTCTATCTACCTACGTTGTGTCTCTACACGTATATATCTAATAATTTGAATGGACACACTCCCTAGTACTCTACAAATTACTTTACGGACACCATACATCGTAGTCGTCGTGTCAAGCTACCCTTCCCTTATTGATGCATTTACAACCTTATGACGCGACGATAAGCTTCTAAATGTACTGTCTGAAGGTATATCTTGACGTGCGGTCATCTGCACACACATAAATGTTGTTCATGTCATAATTATATATGGAACAAGTTCCGTGGTACCGCGAAATGTTCGCACAACTGATGCGTTAATGTGAAATCACTTTCATTTACAAGTCAATACGGTGGATTTTTGTTTAAATCGTAAGAGATTTTGTCGATATTGTTACAAATTAATGTACCTATGAGACAATAACAATGGTACCATGATTTTGTGACTGTCTGTGTGTATTTGATTGGAATACTAATTACAATACTTGACAAATTTAAAAAGCCGCTATAAATAATCATGTAACAGAATCAGCGATACATGTGTCTAATATTGTGGCGTTATATTTACCCATAGTAGAAGATATTAAACATTATATTTTTTATAATTTTGAAATAAATCGGCAAACGAGCAGACGGATCACCTGATGGTCAGCAATCACCAGAGAGTTACAAGTGCGCTGCCGGCCTTTCGGTAATTTGGCGATTAGGGATTGACATTGGAGATTAGAGTTTTGGGGATATGCGGATTTAGAGATCGGAGATATGGGAACCAGGGTTACAGGGATTGGAGATGGGTAGAAGGACTGGGGAATGGTGATACAGCAATTGAGAATGGGGATATGGTACTTGGGAATCGGAGATACGGGGAACAGGGATGGGGTAACCTCACTGACTTGGTTGTTGCACCATATGTAATATTGAACAGTCACCTGACAGACAGACACTCACAACATTCTTTACATGTATAGCAGCGCAAGAGTTGTGAGAACGAGCGCGCGATGTACACGGCTACAAGCTATACAGAACCAGTCCACCATGGTCTCGCTTCGTACGACCTCTCCGTACATTCGACGGTCAGTCTCCACTGGTTGTGTACAACTTGATATGAATACAAAAACGTGTTGAATAATACAGGCTAACGTTACAAACATATTGTGAATCTCACTTGTGTGTCATATATTTTAATTACAAGTCGTATTATATCGTAGAGGGGGTCAGAGCGGCAGCTGTAGCTGATTGTGTAATTGTATCAGGAGATAAATGGTTGCGAAGAGAATATAAAACCTTATTTTTCTTCTTGAACAGCAACAATGGCAAATATAGACAACTTATTACGTTTGACAGCAGCACATCAACATACAACATTCTGTAATAGATTATCAACCTTCACGTCAAGCCAATAAAGTTGAAATTTCATCACAATTTAGTATATCTGGACGAGCTACCATCTCAACGTGAATATCTTGCAAATTAGACAAACAGCTACAATCTATCCACGCTGTGTGCCCTCCGATGATAGCAAACCACAATTATATACAATACACTGCCTTCTCCCCTTTACAATAGGGTCTATATTTGCGTGGTTATTGCGTATAGTTACGGGTGTAAGCAGACTGGCCGAGAATCAAACTATACTAAACATTTTAATGGATTTTTAACCTTGTTTAAGGATTATAACGTCGAAAATGAATTTAAACTTAGTAAATTTATATTTTTATAGGATAGGGAGGTAAACGAGCAGACGCATCGCCTGATGGTAAGCAATCAGCGTCGTCCATGGACACTGGCAACACCAGAGGTGTTACAAGTGTGTTGCCGACCTTTCAGGGGATTGGGGATTGGGAATGGCAAGGGGGGAATAGGATTGGAACGCTGAACATCTTTTAGTGGATTCCCAAGCCTCACATTAAGGTAACATTGTCAAATTCAATCTAAGTTTAGTGTACCTTGATCCGCGGCCCATCAGTATTTGTTATACAAAGAATAATATCGACCATCAGTCGACTGTCTACACGAACAGTCCCGCACTACAGTATGTGCAAACAAACAAACAGTCAATTCGTTACTATTTATAGATATTATAATATAATTCGGTACATTTTTTCTGCGTTTTTCTTTTCTGATTAAAGATATAAACTGAACTGTATAATATCTCCGATAGACTTTCAACTTTAATGTACAATTTTACAGTCGAAAATGCTATGAACGACATTCGTCAGTTATGAAGGCAGATTATATGAAATTGTCAATATCTTATTTAACAATATGTAAATATAGAAGTAAGGAACACAATATTATTTAGTTGTGCCAAGCAAGTTTCCGGTTCCAAAACTCGCCACGGCGGCGCTAGTGTAGTAAATGATCACATGGAGGTAGCAAATAACACGAATATCATGTAATGACTTTTGTTGGACAAGTTGTGTGGTGATGACAGGGTATATAACATTTGTTACTTAACCCCTGCTCTCCCCGCGGGTGCTGTAAGAGCCGGAGAAGGGACTCCACATTTGACAGAGACAAGGCACCAGCGGTCTCTGATATATCTGAACTTGGGAAACTGCGATTTGCCAAGCGATTATGAATTGCAATCTCCAACCCGTTTCCCAAGTGTGGAGATTATGGCAAACTTATATAGAAGAGGCCGATAGTCGAGCAGTAGACTGTATCTCGTTATTGCTGACTTTAGTGCATTTTAAAATACTTATAAGATACTAACACATGCCTGAGACTTAGTCTGCGTTGTTATAGAACGACATCGACCAGCAAGTATCCACCAGGACAATTGAAATGAGCGACCGAACTAAGGAACCGTCCAATAGTTGAGAAATAGAGAGCCTAGGTGGCCTACGCTACAATCTATCTCTGCGCTCAATTTCATCCGAATCCGTACAGTAGATACTGCGGGATGTCTGTTCAAACATATAGACAGTCATTTCACCAGTTGCTCCAATTTTTAATAATCCATAAGCAAAAATGGGATGGACACTAACAATATTTTGGTTATCGCTAACCAATAAGTGCCACCTAAACATAAAATTAAGCGCTTAGTTTAGGTGCTTCGTCACGCTAAGTAACACTTAGTTAAGAGATGGTTTAGGGGGCGGTTGGTGAAAGCGACTATTAAACTTTAATATGTGTAAGATTTTGGTTAAGAATTGTGTTCCTTACTCCTACAAAACACACGAAAGCCATTGTTTTTATTTTTTTATTTTAATCAGTACTTGTATACTGTGAAGTTAGGTACAAGAGAGTTATTGCTTTGTGACTAACTTCAGAGTCCTGATCGAATAATTTTACAATCGCTAAGATGGACTTTAGATCGAATAGAGATATTCTCAGTAGAGATTTTCATTCTGAATTAATATATTATGTGTGCAACAAGTTGTTTATAAGTTTCGTGAGACGTACTAAATTAATTATTATGCATTTCGGCTTACTCACGTAACTGTATAACGAGGAACTCGACTAGTTTCAAGTCATGTTAGAGGCTCATATTCTTCAGTAGCAGCGCGACAGTCGCCGCGTAATGTCGCGAAATACTGCTCATGAACAGGAGCCTCTAGCATGGCTTGAAACTAGTCCGAACAGTTACGTGGGTAAGCCGAAAAACATAATTAATATTTAAGTTTCATTACTGTAGCCATGGCGTATTAATTCAATGTTATAATCTCTTTAGTATCGTCTCTATTCTTACCAGAGTGCATTTTGGTTAATATAAGAGCTATAGAAAGGCGTCCTTGCAAGGGCGACTCGGTACAATACAAGTCTCAGTTGGCGCCCACCGAGACACAATAATGACACGAAATAATTTTTACATTCATTACCTTCCATCGAAAGCAGATACTTAAGTATTTAACATTACTATAGCAACACTGCGCTCGGTGGCTCGCTCCAGTGTTGCCACCAAACAATTTTGTAGGGTTGCCAGACATTTCAATATTGATTCAGTATTCTGTGTCGGCAGTGTTGCATACAAGCGAGTGCGGTTACAAGTATATCCTGAAACACGGCCGGAGACGTCGCCGGTCGACTACCGACCTTATCACTAACAACATAAGGGTGATATCAAACGGAACTGTCTCTATATACAAGGTCTAATAATAAATTAATGGTACAAACACAAAATAATACTAAACTATACGATCTGTCGAGTGCGGGACACGCGACCACGCCTCACCGAGTTATTAAGTAAATATTTTCATTATTTATAATACACATAAAACTATATGATACACAGTAATGCGGTTATTATTTTACACATGTTTAAACATTTCTATTCCGTCTCCACGCGCACATTACACATTAAACGAACAAAACAAAACTAACGAATGTCTCTTTTGCTAAAAAAAACTAGCGAGGGCCGGTGTATCTACGAAGCGATGTCGTACAGACGCCCTCGTATTAACTATTTCACAGCCTTGTACAAGTTGACACGCATGAGGCGCGGCGCGGGTCACGTGACCTCCATCGGGACCGTGTCCCCCGCCCGGCGCCGCACGGACCCGTTGGTGGGCGCCGCGTCCTCGGCCGCCGGCGCCGCCGCCGCGCCCGACGTGGACGGCGCCGGCTCGGCGGGCGGGGCGCCGGGCGCCGCGGGCGCGCGTGGGGCGCCCAGGCGGCGCTTGAGCTGCGCGGGCGCCGCGAAGGCGATGGCCGACACGTTGGCCGACAGCGGCTGCGCGGCGCCGCCCAGCGCAATCTTGTGCGCGGCGCGCGGCAGCGGCACGGCCTTGTGCAGCAGGTTGGCGACGAGCGCGCGCGGCGCGACGGGCCCGAGCGCGCGCGACTTGAGCTGTATCTGGTGGCGCACGCCGCCGGGCAGCGCGGCGCGCACGAGCTGGCGGCCGTCGAGGCTGAGGTTGACGCGGCGCTTGTCGTCGGGCGGCGCGCGCGGCGCGGGCTGGCGCACCACGTTGACGAGGTGCGGGCCCTTGCCGAGCTGGCCGGCCTTGATCTCGAACAGCTGCGCGACGGAGCCGGGCGCGGCCTTGAGCAGCGCGGCGGGCGCCTTGCCGTCGAGCGCGGCGAGCGAGACGACGGTGGGCAGGCCGCCGAGCGCGCGGTTCTGCGCGAGGAGCGCGGTGCGCTGGCTCTGCGTGAGCGGGTGCGCGTGCAGGACCTTGAGCTTGCTGGGCGGCACGTGCTGTAGATGCGACTGCGCCACGACGAGCGGCGCGTGCGGCGCGTGCACGTGCACGTGCTTGTGTATGGCGCCGCCGGCGAGCTGCACGAGCGGCGCGGACAGGCGGCGCCCGGCGCCCGCGGCGCTGGCGGTGGACGCGCTCGTGCTGCTGGCACTGGCGCTGGCTGCGCTCACTGTACCTGGGGACGAACATACCATACGGAACACTCTTCCTGGACTCTTCACAAAAATATCGGGCAATTTCAACCAAATACTAATCATACTGTCGCCGAGATACGAAAATATAAATGATAAATGACATGATATGTCACCATATCTTTCCTGCGAGAAATAATAGACTGACTATAGTCTCTCCACACTGCAGTCCCGATAAAAACTAACGTTTTCTAAAAATAACCTAGAGTAAACTTAATTTTAACCCGATAAACTGAATACCGTAGTTGTTACAACAATAATTTCGTCTCAAATTGAGACCATCACGAAGCATACTTGCTCATCATCTTGACTCTTGTTGCTACAATTCTTTATTTTTCTGTCTGTATTTTTGCTTACGTACGGTATCCTGAATAGTCCTTCTAAATTCTGGGCAAACTGCTATCGACCTTCTTAAAAGTAATGTTGAAGAATGTCCTTTTGATTTTCGGTTTCAATACACAAACCCCCAAGCAGTCATTAAAACGTTTAAAGATATCAAAGTTAAGTCGACTGAAGATCTCTGGGGTATGTCGGTTAGGATGTGTAGGGCTTTTATAGGAACTATTAGCGCCTCATTCAGCTTTCATTTTTAATTAAAGTGTAGATCAAGGAGTTCTTCTGGATTTAGTGAAACACAGTAAAGTAGTTCCATTGTTTAAATCCGGTGATAGCGCAGAACTCAATAACTATAGGCCGGTCTCTATTTTACCAGTTCCTAGTAAAGTGTTTGAAAGACCGATGCTTGCTCAGAGGGCCAAGCACGAATAACTATCACATTCGTACGGTTGGTTCAGTTGAGCCGGCCAATCAGAGCTCCGAACGCGTTTATTACGTTACGAATGCGATAGTTATTCGTGCTTGGCCCTCTGATGTTGCGTCACTTTAACATTAAACGGAAAAATAAAGAATTGTAGCAACAAGAATCAAAAGACTGGCACAGGGTGTACTTTTTCGTTTATAACACATAAGTTATTCTATTTTAAAAACTACGTGACTTAGAATTTTTTCTATATTTCTCTCAGATCACTTGGTACCAGCCAGTTGATCATTGACTTCAGTGACACTCTGTATATAGACTTGCTAGAAGCGAGACATGATATGCTCATTACATATTTTCTACTTATTGTTCATGTCACAGTGTCAATCAACTTCTTTGTTTCTTTTTAACCACAGACAAAAAACCTTGTAGGAAAGTTTAAGAAACGTAAAAAGACATCGATATACATGTTGACATCGTTTTTAAAACCTATTTACAACACAAATCTATTAGCAGAAAAGGTTGAAAACTGGTACAATACATACCTGTGTTATCCCTAGATTGCACGGGCACGGCGACGACGGGAGAGAACGGTCCGTTCTGTACGAGCACTCCCGATTGAGCAGACAGGAGGTGGTTTTGTAAGCGGACCTGAAGCAATATAAACATAATATTATCACATTTTGTTTTATGAAGAAATATCATCATCATCAACAGCCTATAAGTGGCCACTGCTGACCAAAAGCGAAAAAGGTTTGACCATTTATCGCCACGCTTGCTCAATGCGGGTTGGCGATTCCGACTATTCAATACAAAAATCTATTAAACAATAATCACACTTTCATTAATTGATTTTATGACCAACTTAATTTTAGTGTTGTTCCAGCTAATTTTTAAGAAATAAGTACCTATGCTGTATGTCGCTATAAAAACGTGACGTCACAATACACAATCTCGTACAAAATTCATAAAAAACTCTCGTTTTTGACAGTTCGAAAAAAGTATTGAATTTGACTAGTTGGCAAGTACCCTGTTACGTGAGTACCTAAGCTGAAAAGGTTTTAATATAAACATACCTTCAAACTATCAGAAACAGCAACAGTAACGATTTGAGGCTGCGCAGGAGCTTGTGGTTCAGTAGCCACAGAGGTGACAATAGCAACATCGCTCGCTCTTCGATGCCCGGTGGAGGTAATAATATGCTTCTTTAACGGCGAGTGCTTCGTCTGAACAGTCTTTAGTTGGACTCCGTGAGGTAACTGGACCTCCTCAATGGTGTCCTCTTTGCGTTTCTTCTCGATTTTGATGTGTGGTATCTCGTTAACTTCTTCAACAATGATGTTAGAAGTTGGTACTGGCGCTGGTAGTTCTGCCACCTTCTCCTCTTTGATTGGTTTGGGCGTTTCGATCTTGACTGGCGGCGGCGGTTCGTTTTTGACCATGTCCACGTAAATTATTTCTTTATCCGCGTTCGTTACGTTCACGACGGTCGAACCAAACGCGTCCGCCTGGGAAAGAAATTAGATTATTAGAAAATATAGCTTACGATTACATTTCTTTAAGCATCCTTAATTGAGATGAAAAATTCGCGAGGATTTCAATTTAAAAGTTAATAAATTCGAATCTGTACTGCCTCATTAGCCGAGTGGTCGTAAGTGCGACTGTCGGGGGAGGCGTCTCGGGTTCGATTTCCAGGTCGGCCAAAGTATTACTGGTTTTTTTTTAAATCTCAGTATTAGCATGAAGTCTGGAAATGTGCCCGGTATATGGCAATAGGCTCACCCCCTATTACATAGGACTCATAACATAAACAGTGAAAAGTAGATGTTATAACATTGTACAGTGGTATGATGTGCACCTCTGCCTACCCCCTCGGGGATTAAAAGCGTAATGTTATGTTATGTTCGAGTCTGTAATAATGTAGCTGTGCATATGTTATACAATGTAATATTCTGGTTCAATATTCTGGTTCTGGCACCAGTTTTCCATAAGTTACTTAACGAGTCATACACTCATACATAGTATTGTTTCCTATCGAAATTCTCGTTCAATGTAAAAATTCTCGACTTCTAATGATGATGCCAATTTTTACAGCGAAAACTACAACATATTATGTTCCGACAACAACAAACGATACAAAGAAGGAATATTTCAATAACTCACAGACGAGTTATGTGCCTACTATTTATTGAGAGATTCAATTTTAATATTCAATCATATAGAAGACTGGTGGACCCAACAGACGTTGTCCTGCACATCCACTTGAATGTATAAACAAAAATTCATTCAAATTAGTTCAGCTGTTTAGGATAAATAACCTAAACATCGACTGCAGCGCCATCTGCCGGGCTGATTTGTGAATCTAAACCATTCCCAGATCCCCTTGATCACTAACAAAAAAATTCATCAAAATCGGTCCAGTCGTTTGAGAGAAGTTCAGTGACATACACACTCACAGAAGAATTTTATATATAAAGATAATATATCTTACCTTTCTCTTCCTCGGGCCAGAGTCGGCACGCCCGTCCGAACTCTGGCCGTGCAATAAAAAAGAATCCTTAGCGTCCACGTTGTTCACCAGCTCATCCAAGATATCGTCCGTTATGGCTATCTTCTTGTCGTCCTCCTCGGCTAATGCCTTGAGGTCCGTCTCTGATAGTATGCTTTCCACTTGTGCTTCCGTCAGACCTGTAAAAGATAGAAAGGAAAAGTTTTTATCAAATCACGTATTCGTACTCGTACGCGCAATCCCGTTTTTTCCCGTTCCCGTAGGATTTTATCTGTCTTAAGAACTGTATTCTCCTGACAATAACAAACACAACAAAAAAAATCAGTAAAATCGGTCTAGCCGTTCTCAAGTTATGCCGTGACAACGGGAATATATAGATTAAATGTGATCAACAGTCCGTAACAATCAACTTCTGTGCCTTTAGCTAAACGCCACTTTAGCGCTAATCTACAGAGAGAGTAGAAATCAAAATGTATGGGGATGACACTGACAACTGTCCTTTACGTCAATTCCATATAATTTGGTTTTCTATTCTACATGTAGACAAGCGCTAAATGGCATTTGGCTACAGCTGCTGGACTATCTTCACGTTGGGCTTGGATATCACAGTTAAAATGGTTCAAGTTTATCAGAGAACGCTGTTGCTTGGTCTCTGTTAAATGTGTAGTCCATTAATCGGCTCTAATGACAGTCGCGGGAAGAGTAGGGGTGGTGACACAATGCATTTTACTGTTGTTACTATATGGCGAATGTTACTATATGGCTCCCGAGGGTATTGCCACTGTCTAAAAACGTAATGTAATGTAAAAAAGTCTAAGATCTACTTATTAATTTTTGTGTACACTAGGATTTTCTCCTGTTTCGTGTGTACGTTTACAAACATACAAGTTCACATACACATGACACACAGACATTGAATAACAATTTGTGGATCACACAAAGAGCTTGCTCCGTGCGAGAATCGAACCCGCGACACGTTGCGTGGCAGTCGGTTGCCCAGCCACCGCACTAACCGTGTCGTCGTTTCTTCTTCATCAAAACCTTTATCAAAAGCCTCAAATATAATCAATAAATATTTAAAAAAGAACAAGAACTCACCCGTAAAATTCTCAGTAAGCAGATCATCACCGCTGATGTCCAAGCTACCGGCACTATTATCTATATCCGGGGTAATATCCGGGTACAATTCTCCAAGAGTGAACTCCGAAGTAGTGAACGAGTCTAGGCCTTCGGTCGGGGGCTTCTCAGCGGCCCTGAGTTCTACAGAGATGGGGGTGTCTAGGGCGATCGGGAACTGATCGGGGTCAGGCTTTTCTTGGCGGGGTGGCGAGGGCGGCGGTGTTTTCGGTCGGAAATGTAACCTGGAAGTAAAATGAAGCATGTTTATAAGTACATATCTACAAAGTTCAGTATTTGAACCATAGTGTGTCCGTCAAAGAAAATATAATATTATCTAACAAGTCTAAATTTAGTGTAATCTATTGACAAAGTCCTAGAAATAAACCATTCTTGCACAATTAAATACAGTGTGTTAAAATAATAATACCTATAGACTTTGTTCTCATCATTATACTTAGGATTAATTCTGACAGCCTTACACACAATACATAACATCACGCCTTTTAGCCCCGAAGGGGCAGGCAGATATGCACATTACGGCACTTAATGTCACTGTACAAAGTAACAACCACATTTCACTATTTATGTTATGAGTCCCATGTAATAGGGGGTGAGCCTATTGCCATATACCGGGCACAATTCCAGCCTCCATGCTACTACTGAGATTTTTTTTTAAAACTCAGTAATTATTTTGCCCGACACGGGAACACTTGCCCGTCGCACTTGTGACCACTAGGCAAACGAGGCACTCACACTTTCGTAATATAACATTAGTAAGGTTGATAATGAATAATAAATTATAACATGTACTCACCATTTCTTATTAACTTCATTGATAAACTGTTCGAACTCCTTCTCAACTGGTTGTAGAGGTTCATCGGAGTCGTAGCTACTATCCGAGCAGCCGCTGTACGATCGCTTCCTCATAACTCTCTGCAGATTATCCTGAACAACTTCATCTATAGTCCTTGCACTAAATCTAATATCACTTTTAACACTGTCTTGTATAACGTCTGGTAGGGTATTTCTGTCTGCGAGTCCGTCGTCTGGATTGTCTGGATCCGGCTTTGTCCAGAGTTCTGGGTTCCTGGCTAGATGTCGTCGGAACGCGTGTCTCCAGGGGTATTTCCCGCTCGTATGGTAATCTCGAGTCATTTCCTTTGGCGTACGATGCGCTTTTGTCTCGAGTTCCACCTGGAATATAGAGGAAATATAGTTATTAGATTGTGATCATGTCAAGTTAAATAAATAAATGTAATTTAATTTCTATTTCGGGTCATCAACATCATCATATCAGCCATAAGATGTCCACTGCTGGATATAGACCCCAGGGACATCCGGATCGCCCGGTTGAAACCCGGTTGCAATCAATTTCGGATATGCCTGACGAATTTTGAGACCAACCAGAATTTTAAGTAGTTATCGGTAGTAGCGTACGAGAAAAATCCTAGAAAACGTTGTATGAATCGTTGTATGTTTTGAGAGCTGCTAAACCGATTACTCTTGTTATTTTTTTGTTGTGTTTGTTATTGTTAAGAAACAGTTCATATGTCGAAAAATATAATTCTAAGGCGAAACCGTCCGTTAGTTTAAAAAAAAATAATGTTGTTACCTCCTCATCCTTCTCCTGGCGGTAGTGGTGCGAGTCGGTGAAGGTGAAGGGCAGGTGAGTGAAGAGGTCGTGCAGCGGCGTGCGCGTGCGGTCGAGCACGACGCGGCCGCCGCGCGCCACGCGCCGCCGCGCGAACCCGATGCAGCGCGCGCCGCCCGGCGTGCGCAGCGACGTCAGCGTGTACCTGCCCCACACAAAGCGAATTAGTCTAAGCAAACTTATCAATATCATCAACTAGCGTCCCGCCTCGACATCGCACAGATGCAATATGCATGTATTATACATATAAAACTTCCTTAAGAATCACTCTATTAAAAAAACCGCATCAAAATTCGTTGCGTAGTTTTTAACATCACAACAGACGGCGGACAGCGACTTTGTTTTATACTATGTAGTGATAACTTTAGAAACTTATATTCAAAAGCTGTCTTGATTGATAAAATAAACTTATAAACGATAGAATATGAATTTGGTTTCACTATTTTTAGATTTTTGTTACTAAACTTGTTAATGACAATCATTACGATTCACGAAATTCGTAAAAATAAAATCTAATAACCGTGAGGTGGGAGAACGTTAGTTCGACCAATTAAATACGGCCCTACTGCCATACATAATCACAACCACATCCAAGTAAACATCCCCTTTGCTAATTAAAACTATACAACCACACTCTTAGATTTCTTTCCGCCATTCCATTAAACAATATACAAACAAGCTATATATAACATACCTATGCCTCTCATCGACCTCGTGTTCGCACAAAGCGTCGGCGGAGGTATCTTCCGGGTCCAACGGGTCTCCGTACAACGTAGACGTCGGCTGCAAACATTACACTATATTACACACGACTACTAAATCTGATTGAAGTTATGGGAAGGATCAAACACCTGTGATAAACTTATATTTGATTAGTATAACCAGGAGTTTTAATAAAGATGTTCTGTTGGTTCCAACGAATTGTAAGGACACTCATTAATGTCTTTAAATGGATTTACATTATAGGAGTCACATATTTTAACTATAATAGCTATTGACTCATTACTCGTTGGTATACAGTTCAGAAAATAGAGATGAATTCAGTATAACGACAGCAGATATTCCATAAGCACATACGACAACTATACCAAAACCTCTGCAAAAGTCTCTGTACTGAATCTATCTTTATTTTCTTTTTGACACACGAAATATCATTGTTGATTGGACATGGATAATGGTAGGTTTAATTTTGATGTTTCTTTTAATAAAGTTTATACTGCATATCTATAAAAAATTACTCTATGATCTGTCTTTCTTAGTATAAAGGTAGTGTATAAAAACTGACCATTTCATAATAACAGCCGGGTTTCCGTCTGAAGGTAAACGGTCCATCGTCGGGCGGAGTGGAGGTCTCGGCGCGGGCGCTGCTCTCCTCCTCCGAAGACGTGTACACGCCAGAGTCTGGAAACATTCAATTTTTAATTAATATTTACTCTTTTATGTACACAGAAATGAGTGAGAGAGACCAAAAGGTCGCTGAGTTTATTGGCGTAGGTTATTAGCAGTGGCGTAACTACTGGGAGGTTAGTCGACAAAATGTCATGGCCTCCAGCTGGAAAGGGTCTCGTCGGTCTCGAAAACTTGTCTGTTTTTTTTATTTGCCACGGGCCCCGAACGGTATAGTTACGTCACTGGTTACTATAGTTTGTACTTAGTAGTACTAATTCCATTTTGCTCACGTGGACGAAATTATTCCTTTAATTTATTCCTTTAATGAGGGCATCAAAATTCTACGCCGTTTACATAGGTGAACAAAATGGAATAATCCATTAGCCTAGCTAGGAGCTTGAAGTTTTCTTCTAAGGCTTAATTCGCTCTTTAAACTAGCTCCACAAATTGGTCTGAATGTTGGTCATAGTAATTTCAATGTTACGACTAATGCTATTTTATTACTTTACAGTTACAGTTTGGACGAACGTAAGGAATCGATGTTGAGATTTCTTTAATCTCATTGTAATATGTTTAACTTATTAATATAAACACTGGGACATTCCCCATTCTGTAGTATTGAAGAATTTCCAAAATCTATTAGTTTAAACCTGAGATATCATGCTCGAAGTTTATGTATCAAAAACAATTGTAACAAAAACGGTCATACTTAAAGAATTTGACCAAGAGTTTTAAAGAATTAGAATTACATTTTTTTTAATTTTAAAAACAATGTCAGAAACACTTATCTATCAGACTATAATAATGATCTGTTTATTTGATTTTTTCACTTTTTATTTTTAGATTTTAATACTTACTTTTTATTGTTGATTGATTTATTAGAATAGCATTTATACTTGAATAAATCAATGTTTACCGTCGATTTAATGTTCTAGGTTGATATACCATCACACCACGTAACCTAGGTACCTCGGGGCAGAGCTAGTCATTGTGTACATACCTCTCAGCCCCTGCACGGAGCCGACGACAGGATGCCTGTGTTTCCGTCTCTTGTACGGTCGCTTTTCTCGCTGCAAGGTAACAGACCATCATGATATCTTACTCGCTTACAGATTTTAATTATTAAATGCGAGTTTTTTTCGATCCTATTTGTAGGTGAATAGGTTATATTTTTATTTAATATGAAGTAGTGTAATCATTATCAATATAGTAGGTTTTGTGCTGTATACAGTAGATTGCTGGTCTATCATTATTTATCAAGTTTTATTTGAGTAGGTAAGCTTAGATACCATAATAAACCTAGGTAGACATTTAGACAAATTATATGTAAATAAAATGAAAGTAATACTAACTTTGTTTTGTTGTGTATACCTTAGTTACGAAGTAAATAGGAATGTATCATACGTAAAGTGAAGAAAAGGCATAGGGATAAAAGATTAATGGAAAGGTAGAGGATGACCAAAGAGAACATGGATTATTAAAGAAAATATTCAAAAATAATTATCGGAGAAAATCAGAAGGAAGAGTATGATCAGAGACCAGTTGGATGGAAAGGAATAGCACGGTCAGATATAAGATGGATGAAATCCAATACGATAGATCACCAGACAAGAGGATAGAGCGAGAGAGAGGGTATAGCGAGACAAAAAATGAATGAAAAGGTACGATGACGAAGATGATGATCAGAGAAAAGATAGATTGTTTGAGAAATCTTTAACTGTTAAATCTCCAAGCGGTCACTGGTGATCGCTCTCCTCTCATTATAGACCTTATTTCCGATATTTAGAGACTACTTTTGTATGGACAAATTTTGGGGATTTTCGGTACGTTAAAAAGAACAGACGTTTGTAATATAATGATGTTTGATTTGACAGAATTGTAGAATACGTATAGCGTTGACCTCAAGTAAGGGAGAAGTGCTTGAAGGATTTAATAATTCAATATTCTTCTTCAATAATGTATCGGTATCAGTCGTATAGATTTGAAAAGGATGTTTAGGAGTTTTGACTTCGATAGAGGGAGAGTGGTCGAAGAAGACAAGATATTGCGCCGACTCTAAGTAAGTTAAAAGAAAAGAAAGAGTTTTACGTGTATGTGTGATTTTGGTCGTGTATATAGATACCTGTCGCGGCTGGTCGACGGGTGTTGGAGGCGGGCGTGGCGGGTAGTGAGGCAGCGGGTACGGCTCGCGACGGAACGATGATGATGATATTGGCACTGCGCTGTAGGTTGTCCTGTGGGAGATAAAGTTTAATGTTTTTAAAGAATAAATAGGTATATCGGCCTTAATTACCGATTCTTTCTACGCCTTGGAATGAGCAACTAGCTTCACTTATAAATTTTTGTTGTTTGACGTTCAAAAGTGCCATCCTGGTCTAATTGAAATAAATGATTTTGACTTTGACTTTGACTTTGATTTTCTTGGTCAGCAACAGAAGAACTTAGTCCTAAATCTCCTCGATTCGAGGCAAAATAGTAAGTAGAGAAAGGATTAGGTATTTGTTACGAAGATATTGCGCCTCCGTGGACAACTATCAAGACAATTTGTGACCTCTAGTCAGTCATTATTTCATTAGGTGTTGTACTGCTCCAGATCCCTGTGCACCATGGCCTTTAGCCAAACGCCACTTTAACGCTTGTCTACAGAGAGAGTAGAAATCAAAATGTATGGGGATGACACTGACAAGTGTCAAAATTTACGTCAATTCCATATAATTCGGTTTTCTATTCTACATGTAGACAAACGCTAAATGGCATTTGGGTACAGCTAGCCAAATGCCAGCTAGGATACAATCATGCAAACACCAGAACACTGAAATCCGGCGCGTCCCAGGGACATAAAGAACTGTCTTGGATCCAGCAACGAAATAAGTCTGAAGAGTAGATACTTTAACAGGTGTTGGACCTGTTAAAGTGTCTGTTGGGCTTTAAGACTATACCTTGGCGGTGGTTCAGGCAGCAGTTGGTTGGCGAAGTCCCCGGCATGGTACCGTCGCTCTGCGATCAATGCAGTCAACCTGACGAGCTCTCGCTTGGCGTTCTCCCGACGTGAGACCAACTCCAACAGGCTCAACGCTCTCGCCAAATCTCGTCGCAGTTTCAACATCTTCTCGTACGAGCTCTCGTCGTTTTTCCTGAAATCAAATTATGTACGGTTAGTTTTGGATTTTATGTAACTTGTAGAAGATAAACCAAAAACTTGACTACGTATGGTTCAGGTGTCGTGTGCACGTAAAATGTTACTGTTGACATTACAGCAAAGACAACCGTTTGTCTTAATTATTTCCAAGTTCTTGGTTTGGAAGTTATGTGCACCCACCATATGCATGCATTAGCGATGGAATATGGTGAAAATTGGATCCTCTAATTAAATTCCTCAGAAAATTTTAGGCACAGTTGTATATCGCGGTTCAGCCAGATAGTGACAATATCCGCTATGTAGCTGGCAGATGTTGGATGCGCACAGACAAATATTGAAATGGCTTATGTCCAGCAAGGGCCGGAAACAGCAACAAACCGCAATTGACGGTAAGTCTCCACTCCCCCCAACTTACTTAGGAGACAGACTGCCTGATATCTCTCCTCATTACAAACTGAAGTAAAAGTCTTCTCACCTGTTCTTCCTGGTCTGCATCTTCTCCGTTCGCCGCCTGAATGCCAAGTAGGGGTTGTTGGACGACTGGCCCGGCCTGTTCTCTGTTTTTACCGACAGGATCAGCGGGTGTTGCTGTAAATGTACAAACATCATAACATTTAATAACATAACATCTTCGGCTTAATCAATAAGTTTAGTGTTAATTTGCGCGGAGTCATGTGGATAGCCGTTAGTCCTCGATAGACCACAGCTCCAACAGTATTCTGTTTTATTATTTTTTCGAGTCTGCCTAAGTATATGGAAAGAGAAAACTTCAGGAATATCAGTAAGTATAGGTAAGAATAAGGAATATTACATTTGACTAATAGCATAAAACATAACTAGCGATGTTAATTCTTTTGCTTGCCGCTAAAGACTTGGGCAGATATTAAGTGCTTTCGCAATGCCCGACAGTTTCTGAAGTTGGTACATCTAATAAAGTTATAGGTAAATTAATTTTGGAAATTCCTCATTGGATCCCTTGAACGTCAACTCCCCGGCCACCCTAAATTGTTTGATTTTATGTTCCTTGCTAAAGACCTCTTTGGAGCATAAAACAACATGCGTACCTAAAGACCAAGTTAAGGTTATCCCTTCACTTATTAACTCGGTCTTTGTTTTACTTGTAATTAATAAACGTTTTTGGTACAGTACCGTATTAAGCCGCTTATTGAGCCAGTAGTCGTAGACCGCGATGACGAGGTCGTCGTTCCTCTCGAGCAGCAGCTTGGCCTCGTTGAGGGTCACCACCGTCTGGCCCGAGCTCTTCTCCAGTTTGTCCATCATCTGCTCGAACTTTAGCTCTGGAAGTAACATGATTATGTTTATATTACTACAACTATATATTTAGAACTTGCAGGGTTCATACAATGGAATCGTACGGAGTTTTTGTACGAAGACTCACTCTCTATTAAATGGAACTCAGATAGACAAATTGACGTCAGTAAAATTAGAAGCTTACTGACTTGATTGATCTCGAGTTGATTTTTACACTTATTAGGTTACGATGGGACTGACATGCGCTGTGCAGTATAAAAGTCCCTAAAATTAAAAAGGAAATAAAAAAAGCTTCTAATTTTCTTGTTATATCATAGGACCAAGTTCGACCTATGATTCTTAAATATGCAGATCTTGTAAATACAGCTCTACTGATTAGCATGAACGCACATTAATTTATATTTCGAAAGCCAAGCTAGGTAAAGTCTATTTTTTTTGAGGGGGAAAATCATCCAATGACTTCTCCCGCCCGGGTGAAGCGAGAGGGAGTGTGAGACTCTTACTGACTAAAACCACCCCGTTCCTACTCCTGCACTTCGAGCCGGAGCCCCGGCAACCAAGTCCTCCGCGGCAGGAAACTATGACTTCGAGGACTTGGAAATTTGTTAATTATAAAAAAAAATATAATCATTTTTATATCACCCTTCTCGGGTAAAATCCCTTATAAAATGATGTAATAGACCATCTCCGCCACAATGAATTTCATCTTGAGCTGTCCTAGTCGACACGTCCGCCGTTACTAGCAATAAATAAGCCGGGGCCACACAAACGACATGATGACGACAAATTGCACCGCTAGATTGATTCAGTTGGAGTGTGCTAGTTACTGACTGGTATGGATTTGTTCGGGAATTGGGTAGGCAGAGATTACAAGCTTTGTAACAAATTTGGACTTCTATGAGATTTGGAAAACTAGTATAGAGAGGTGGTAAAAAGACTGACAGTTTCCAGGAGATACGGATAATTCAAACTGTAAATTTGAAATAAAAAAGTTAATCGTGATTGTCTTTTTTTTTTTTTTTGAGGGTGAAGAATTATTCAATGACTTCTGGGGCCTCGGGTGAGGCAGAGAGAGTGTCAGGCTTACTGATTAAAAACCACCCCGTTCCTACTCCTGCTTCGAGTCAGAGCCCCGTTAACTTGAAAGCTATCCGCAGCTCCGGACCCGGACTTGACTTGTAGGTAAAACTTCTTTATTATCATCAACAACCTCCATTAACAGTCCACTTCTAGACTATGGACCTCCTCCACCTAAGAGGTGGTATTACCATAACCTGGACCCTCCTCGGCGGATTGAAAAACAATCAAGGTATTTCATAGTAAAAAGGTTGTATTTACCTGTTAGCTCAGGATGCCTTTGCTGTTTCAGCCACCTTTCATCCTCCGTGTCGATGTCGTACTCTGGCGCCTCTTGCTCTTCCCACAGCGCTGTAACAATATAAAATGATATTGTAGTAAACAAATAAGTTTGGGTTATTTTCATCGAAACGCCAGCTTGAGTAATTAAAGCTATAATTTTTAAACATACACGAGACGCAGTGCCGAACCTAAAGAGGGGTCTTGCATGGTCTTCATTTCTTCTATTAATATTAAATACATAACATCACGCTTTTTGTCCCCGAAGGCCCGAAGGGGTAGGCAGAGGTGCACATTACGGCACTTAATGCCGCTGTACAATGTAACACCCACTTTTCACTATTTATGTTATAAGTCCCATCCCATGTAATAGGTGAGCCTATAGCAATATACCGGGCACAATTCCAAACTCCGTGGTACTACTAAGATGGTTTTAAAAACCCAGTAATACTTTGTCCGATTTAGGAATGGAACCCGAGACCCCTTGCCCGGGAGTCGCCCTTGCAACCACAGGGCCAACGAGGCAATCATCAAACAGTAAATACATATTGCTATACATATCATATAAATCAGTTATAAAGACTAGGCACTCATTGGCATGAATTCGTTTTACAATTTCATTGAAATTATATTTTCTAAAAGCTATCAATTTTTTTAAGGGGGGAAAATCATCGAATGACTGTTACCGCCTGGGTGAGGCGGGAGGGAGTGTCAGACTCTTACTAACTAAAAATCACCCCGTTCCTTCTCCTGCACGTCGAGCCGGAGCCCCGGTTACCCGTTAGGTTCTCCGCGACAAAATCTATCCATAGCCCTTAATTTTATTTCTATGTGTCACCTCATATAATACGCCATTTTCCCGAAGAAACTCAGGCCTTTGTAACAATTAACAAGTGTAGCATTTCCAAAACCCCTCGGCCGACCCGAAGACGATCCCAATACTTAAGTAAGCGTAAAGTTATTTTAAATGCTAACATTCCCTTAATAAAAACAGGTTCAGGTAGTCGCTACAAAGTTTTTGAAGTCGGTTTTTTAGTATGAACCTTTTGATTTCGTTCTTAAAGTGCAAATTTCTTGTTTTTTGCCCAGTTCGAAGTATTATGGCATTAGCAGTTTAAATTGTACCTAAATTGTAATTAATGATTTATTAGCTGTCAACCCCAGCTGCGGATAGTTGCTATAGCCCCTATAAAGTTGCCATTTCTTGCATAGGTACAAATCCGTCCCTGTAATAACGAAACTTACAAAAATAATTATATATATAGTTTGGTGCAGTCGTTTGGGAGTTACGAGCTTACGGACAATACTTCAACTCATTTTTACCCAATCATGAAGTATTATTGGGTTTTTAAAAATTTGTCAATAATAGCACGGAGTCTGGAATTGTGCCCGGTATATGGCAATAGGCTCAACCCCTATTACATGGGACTTATAAATAGTGAAAAGTGGATGTTACATTGTAAAATGGCATACCTAATGTGCACCACTGCCTACCCCTTCGGGGAAAAAAGGCGTGATGTTATGATGTTATGTTGGAAGATAAAATAAATATCTATGTCTTAACACAAGCGTTCTAGTTGCAACAAAAGGCCTCGATCTTTTAGACCTCTGCGTTGTTCTAGCAATTCTAGTAACTAATGATGTGTATTATTTGTTACGAGGCAACAAAGTAAATCCTGTTATTTCTCTTTATTTTAGGTCATTCAACATTTAAGTAAGCCTTTACCTGGCCAGTACCTACATAAGATAAAAAAATATGACTACAGGAACCTTCCTGTAGTCATATTTCCTAGTCGGTAGTTTACCTAAACTACCGAATGGTTTTAATATCAAATGACTTTAACAGATGAAATAAGCTAGTAGATGTACCTAACATCACTGTATTCTGTAAACCCTTTCAGAACAGTCTTATTCCGTATAAAAACATACAGACAACAATCAATTAAACACAATTCTATTAAAAAAATTCGAAAGTTAGTGACTACGAAAAAAAAACTACTAAACGGATAAAGATAGATTACAGTCTGGCCTTAATTTTATCGAAACCCGGCTGGCAGAATGTACTAAATAATAAATCATCGAAATTCATATCGGGCCGACATTGCAACATTGATATCGAACGTCCGCTCAGCACGGCGTCCGCCATCGTTCTGCGAAGGCCGAGCCTAGCCGAGGCGACTGAGGCGAGCTCACAGCTGACGACCAACGTAATCGAATCACCAGACGCGTGCGTAGACTGTCGAGAGCACACGTGATTTTATATCTAAGGATAAAATGTGCGTTAACTTTGGTATTGTGTTTTAGTTTTGTTTTGGTTTTAGTTGCAAATGTTTGCTTTGTTGGTTTAAGTTTGAAATAAATAATCTCACGCCTGTCCTATGAGGATACGACTTTGTTGAAATTGTCGTTAGTCGAGAAAGATAATTCTATTTTTAAAGGTTTTATTATATCATTGATAGAGATTCTTGATTTTTTATCATTCTCAGAGCTTTTCGCTTACAATTATGACCAGTATAACATTAGGCTATCATAGGACTCTTATAAACGAAACATAAACACCACAATCAGATCACGCACAACTCCCAAAAATAACTGCCGTACCTAAATCCTGATCCTCACAGCTAATAAACAATTTAATTAATGAAACTTCAATGTTAATTTCCAAGCCTAATCCTTCACGGGACTACAGTAATTTCGACCCTAAAAGCTGGACGTAATAACATCAATGCCTATACTAAATGGATACGGGTGTAAAGCTGATTGTACATTGACGCGAATTTGTTTAGTCCCAACATTTATTCAAAACCCCTTTAAAATGGCAAGAAACTCTATGCTCTTTAGAACGAATGGAATTTTCTGAGCATAACTATTTGCCCTACAAATTCATAAAAGTTTCAGTATAGGAACTGCGAGAAGAATGGTGATGGATTACTGATCATAATTCATAACCTATTGTAGCTTACCCTGGCATGGTTATTGAAACGACTGAAGCCGATTGATGAATATATTTCATGACATAGATCTTACTATATACACCATGACCATAAGATGATTTTCGCCAAGAGTTATATGAAGAAGCAGTCGCTACTATCAAGTCCCAATATCTTGAGACTACTTTGTCCCTTTACTTTTATCCCTTTCTTACATGTAAGTATGTTGGTCAATTTTTACGTAGCTAATCTAATGCTATCAGAGATGGTGGACGGTGTTAAACTGTTAAGTAAACCCATAACAATAAGTCGTTTAATTTCTAGCCGCCGCAATGGAGACTCCGCTTAAGGTCCGGGATTGTTGACTAATTAATGTGATGTAGGTATCTCTGTGCCTGTGTTCAACGTCGAGGGTGAATCGAGTTCCAATAGCCAGACAATTGAATAACGGGACGCGTGAAAGGGTTGAGTATTGATTTTGGCTAACTACAACTCGTATGGAACTGAATGATACATTTAGGAGAATTGATGATCTAAGAGTATAGTGTTACGTTTGACGAGATCGAAACGAGACCACGTTCGGTGCTCTGATTGGCCGGCTTCAATTAACCAACCGAAATGTAATAAATTAAGTAACAAATTCGTACGCTAGGCCCTTGCTGTGTTGTGATTATGAGTCCAAAGAAGAAATTTATTTATTTATTTAAATAGATATACCAACAGCTTCTGTATACATAGTA